GCCTTCATCGGCCGTCGAAGTCGGCCAGCGGCGTCTAAAAAAAGGAATTACGTCGGCCGATTCCTGCTGTTCCCATTAGCGGTTATCTCTCTCTCTCTCTCTCTCTCTCTCTCTCTCTCGTTCTCTCTCTCCCTCTATCTTATTCTCGCGGGAGTAGGCAGACGTCCGATCCGCATGAAAAAATCATTGCCAAAGAAAAATAAACGAAACAACTAGCCGCCGATGGCCTGACTTCTCTCTCCCGCCTTCTCGTCTCTTACGAGTGTCCCATTTAATTTAATAATCGGTGGGAGTTGCGCACCAACTAGTTTAACCAACTAGCCAGTCAAAGACGTCGCCACAGCGACATGCACGGCAGGATCCATCAGACAAGGCTTCAAGGCATTCTAATGACGTCATTAATCCCGTGCATAAAAGAACAGCTCTCGAAACCTGTGAGACGCTCGGAGGACTTCAATAACAGTGTGTTGCGCGTTAATCAAGCGAAAAATTTTTCTCAAAATTCTAATCGACTGCGATAATCACAATTAACATCGAAGAAGATTGTGCATACAACGATTGTTCCCATCGATTACTTCGATTTTACCGCGATTATAGACTGATTAATCGGTATTTCTTGATTCGCACTTTTTTCTATAAAATAATTCATAACAATATCGTTTGTTTTGAATTCCTTGAAAGTCATTTAGACCTCGTGTGCCGTCGGCCAGGATAGTTCGTTCATTTAATATATTTCATATTGAATCTCGTTGTACACAACATGTGGCAAATTCGATTGTCGTTCGATTGTGTAATTGACCCGGATATGCATATTATCAAACAGTTATTTGGACTCCATAAACGCACTCAATGATTTCCCTGACGCTTTTATGTGCATCCTAATTCGTGCTATATCATCTCGTTAACTGTGCAAATTTGTGATTTGTACAATACACCTATAACTTGATTTATACTTGACAACTTCCGCGTAACTTCCTTTCGTTCTACGATGTTGCATGTCAAAGAGTTCTATCCCCGTTGGCCGAATAAATAAAGAAAATAAAATATTAAGTGTTCCGGTTAGTTTTGAGGAATTTTTTGCAAAAGAGATATGTTTATTTTTGAGAGACATTAAATTATATTTTATTCAAAATATTTTCCATAGCTAGCTATAATTTTTTCTCACTTTTCGGGCAACAAGTGAATTCCGCGACCTTGTTTGACCTGAACGTTCTTTGTCTTTCAAATCGAACCACGCCGAAATCGCCGTTTCCAATACTCGCATGTTTCAACCGATGGAGAAAAGTCAAAATAAGTTTCTGAGATGAACCAGCTTCAGTAGCCGTTTTCTTCGAATCGAAGCAATAAAGCAGTAAACGTCGAAAGTGCTCTTTACCACGCTCCATCTTCACTCGCACAAAAAGTGTGGTTATGTTCACGACCGCACATGCCATGTGTTAAATTATTTGTAGAAATGTCCAAGCTTTAAACTGGCGTACCAACTTTCAAAATATCTCTAGTAGATTCGTAGCTGTAGCCATCTATATTAAGTCCTCAAAACTAACCGGAACACCTAATAAATAAAGTGTCAGTCGCCGTTTAAAATAATCACAATTATACACACGACCGCCGATTAAAACCGGCTATCGATCAGCGAGGTTGCTTCTCAGTCAACCGGCATTTCAATCGATCAGTACCCGACACCGGTCGTAACCCATTGACTGACTGACCGGAAAGGCGGAGAGCTGCACCGCAGGCGGAGCTCGCCTCAAACACCGAAGACGAAGGGGTTAGTTTCGTCGGTCACCCCCGCGAGAGAGAGGATAGACTCGCGAGGCGAGTTGCGCCGCACCGCGACGATAATTGCCGCCGATAAAACGGGAGTGCGCGCGCGCGCGCGAAGTGCGGCAAAAAAAACGAACGAAAAGGAAATAGACGGAGGTTATTTCGAGACGAGCGTGGAGGGGTGCCGATCGCTCGTGCTCGACCTTCGTGTCGTGTTTATCGATATTTCTAGCGGCGCGCCGGTGTGCGTACGTACCAACACGGACGCGGACGCGTGCATGTTGGTTAACCCTCTCGGGTTAGGAGGGCGTGCGGTACGAGTGGCTGGTGCATGGCACAGAGGG